CTTCGTCTGCCTCTTACTCTCCTCCTCCTCCTCCTCCTCCATTCCCTCCTCCCCTCCTCCTCTCGCTTCTCCTCCCCCTCCTCCCCTCCCCTCCTCTCCCCTCCCTTTCCCCTCCCCTCCTCTTCTCCTCTCTTCATCCTCCTCCTCCCTCCCCTCCCCCCTTCCTCCCCTCTCTTCACCGTTCCTCCCCTCTTCACTTCTCTTATCTCCTCTACGCCTCTCTTTGCCCCCCCTCTACTCCTCTCCTCCTCTTCTCCTCTTTTCGTCCTCCTCTCTTTCTCTACTCCTCTCCTCGTCCCCCTCTCCCACACTCGCCTTCCTCTCTTCCTCTCCCCCTTTCCTTTTCTCCTCCTCTTATACTTTCTTCCTTTCCTCACATCTTCCCCTCTTTGCTTCATCCTCTGATTACCGTTTCCCTGTTTATCTTTTCGTCCTCTTCCCTGTCCTCTCCTCACTGCTAGTAAATTATTTTTTTCCTTATTTCCTTCCTTCTCTCTTTGCTTTTTTCCTTATTTCTCTATCCATGTTTTTGCAAATCAATTTGATTAACTGTGTGGGATTGCAAGAAGTTTGCAAGTTGGCTTTTTTGTCATTTATTAAACCAAAAATGAATGCAGAGCGAGAGTGATTCATTGTCACTTTAATTTACTTCGTTATATATGAGGTCATTGTGCTGGAAAGATTAATATTTCAGAGATTAGATCGCTGGAACTGAATTTTATTGACCCTTCTGTTTGCGAGATGGATTTGCATGCTGCCTAACTCCCTCTGACTCTCTCTTTGTTTCTTTCTCTCTCTTTTATTTTTTCTCTGGTCTTTTCTTTCTTTCGCTCTTATCTTTCTTTCTCTTTGCTCTCTCTGCTCTTCTCTTTACTGTCTTCTCTCTCTCTCTCTCTCTCTCTCTTCTCTCTCTCTCTCTCTTCTCTCTCTCTCTCTCTCTCTCTCTCTCTCTCTCTCTCTCTCTCTCTCTCTCTCTCTCTCTCTCTCTCTCTCTCTCTCTCTCTCTCTCTCTCTCTCTCTCTCTCTCTCTCTCCTCACACCTCTCTCCCTCACCCTCCTTCCTTTCCACTCCCTCTCCCACCTTTCCTCCCTCCTTCCCCACATCTAAACATTTCCATGTTATTTTGTTCTCTCTTTCCACATTTCTTTATTTTAGATAATATTTTTTCTTTTTGTAATCCAATTTTTGCAACTCATTTCTTCATCATTGCAGGTCGTCTCCATCTGCCTGATGCCCAGCCTCTTGGACGACCCCAACCTCCCCGAGGACGCCAAGAGCCGCGCCCGCCACGTGCTGGAAGGATGCAAGGGCGGCTCCCTGGGTTCCTACAGTGACTCTGCTGGCATTGAGATCATCCGACGCCACGTGGCCGAATACATCGAGAGAAGAGATGGCTTCCCTTCGTGCTGGGAGAACATCGTTCTGTGTGCCGGGGCATCTGAAGGAATCAGAGTGAGTGCGAGAGGAATTTGTGATGCCTTGTTGTTCTCTGGATTTTGGTAGTGGTAGTGGTTGTGGTGGTAGTGGTAGAGATGATAGTATTGGTAGGATTGGTAGCAGTAATTGTAGTGTTAGTGGTAATAGTAGTGGTAGTAGTAATAGTAATGGTGGTAGTAATAGTAGTGGTAGTTGTTATAGTAGTGTTAGTAGTAGCAGTAATAGTGGTAGTAGTAATAGCAGGGTGGTAGTGGAAGTGGTAGTAATAGTGGTAATGGTATTAGTAGTAGTAGCTGTAGTAGTATGATTAATGATATAGCTTTTGCAGAACTGATGTTTGTGTATTGTTGAAGTTGTAGGGATAATTTGTGTATACTTTTGTGAGTTGTGTATTTTTATTCTTGTGTTGCTGATCAGACAATCAGGATGATGTCTCATGCCCTTGTGGCTGCCATCTGCAGGTATATGTGAAAATAGATTATTTACCAGTCAGGAGATGGGGAGAGTGCCATCCTCTCTCTGAAAATATAACATGAACTGGCACTCTTCCCTGTTGTTGCACAAAGTTTCCGTTTAACTTGTCACTATATAGAATGTGTTACTAAGTGAGAGCATTTGTTGGGAGGATCTAGAGAGGCCTGACTGTCTTGCTTTTTTGTAGTTGCCAAGAAATTTAGATATGAATCTAAAAGACTGAAGCGAGTTGTCTGGTTATTAATGTGATTTTGTTTGATGAATGTGCTCTCAAGAAGCAGGTGTTTGTTGACATTGCCAGAATGTAATACACTGTATAGTCATGATGCTGTGTATTAATGCCTTACTCTAACATAGAATATATGTAATAATCTGTATTAAATTACACTATCAGAGTTTCTAACATGAAATAATCTGTACTAATCTGCACCAACAGGGATGCTAAACATAGAATATATGTAATAATCAGTATGAATTTGCACCAACAGGGAACAATGAAACTGATGATCAACCATGAAAATGGGGTGAAGCCTGGCGTCATGATCCCCATTCCTCAGTACCCTCTCTACTCTGCCACCATTGCAGAGTTTGACCTCCATCAGGTATGGTTTATTGATGCTTTCTGTTTATTTTCCTTTTCTGTTCCTCCTTTGACTTTTTTCTCTTCTCCCTCCTCCTCCTCCTCCTCCTCCTCCCCATCCTGATCTTCCTCTTCTTTCTCCTCCTCCTACTAATCCTATTCCTTCTCCCTCTTCTTTTACTGTGTAAAATATGATGATATTTGGAAACATTCTTAGCCCTTAACAACAGAAGTTGCAATTATGAGATATGAGATTGATCCAATTATGCTGTTTATTCCATTGCCTCAGATTGGCTACTACCTTGATGAGTCCAAGAACTGGAGCCTCGACCTGGCGGAGCTGAAACGTGCCTATGACGATGCCAAGAGTGTGTGCACCCCCAAGGCCCTTTGTGTGATCAACCCTGGAAATCCCACAGGTTAGTTTCAAGTTCCTTTGTTGGAAAAGCATTTTATTGTCATTACTTTTAGCTATTTGTCTTATTTTGTTGATGCTAATAAAAGGATATCCTTTAGGTTATACATAGCTTCTTTTTCTTTTTTGTAAATCTGTGCCTTTCTTTACTTGAGGAATAGGACTTTTGATTTGATTAATGGACAAGTTACTAGGTGTGCGTTATCTGTTTTCTGACAGGTAATGTGCTTACAAGAGAAAACATTGAAGGAATCATCAAGTTTGCCCACGAAAGGAACCTCTTCCTGTTTGCTGACGAGGTACAAAATGAAAAGGGATATTATTCTTTATGATTAATTTATTATCATTAAAAAACACAGCATATATTTCCAGTACAAGATGAGCCATTAACCAGCAATGCAACTTTCCAGGTGTATCAAGATAACGTGTATGCAGAGGGGAGCAAATTCCACTCGTTCAAGAAGGTCTTGATGGAGATGGGTGAGCCCTACAATAAGATGGAACTTGCGTCGTTCATGTCTTGCTCCAAAGGTGAGTTGCTCTGTCAAACAAAGATAGTGCAATTTATATACAGATTAATAAATGGCTTTTAACCGCATTCATGTGCGAGTTGGTAGATGCTCTGTGGAAATTACTATTTATTCATTTTATGTGATTCTTTACTTGTTTTTGTAAATTTATCATTTTGAGGTTTTCACTGATTAACAACCTTTTCCCAAAAATTCAGGATACATGGGTGAGTGTGGATTGCGAGGAGGTTATGCAGAAATCATCAATTTGGACCCAGCTGTGAAGGCCATGTACCTGAAGAGCATCTCGGCCAAGCTCTGCCCCACAACTTTGGGCCAGGTAAGGTACTCTTGGATATGTATTAGTTAATCATATTTATGGCCTAATGTACCCGTGTGGTGTGATATTTTTCTTTTCCAGTCATATGAATGTAGACACTCATTGATTTAATTCTTTTACGTAATCTTAAATTATTTTACTTCCTTGATATACCATTTTACCTTCATTTTATTTGTTTTCATACCATGCTAAAACCATTAATTCCATCATAAGTTCTTCCTTCATTTCATACAAGATATATCCTTTCTGAAACTTGATTCATGCTATACTCCAGGCTCTGTTTAATCCAAAGTTAACTGAAAATCTAATATCCTCACAGGCTGTAATGGAGTGCGTTGTCAACCCTCCGAAGGAAGGCGAGCCATCTTACGAGTCATTCATGAAGGAAAAGCAAGGTGTTCTGAGCTCCCTGGCCACCCGGGCGAAGATGGTCGCAGATACTTTCAACTCTGTGCCAGGAATGAGTTGTAATATTGTCCAGGGGGCAATGTATGCCTTCCCACAGGTATATTTGCATTGCATTATTGTCTGTTTTTAACGAGTGATGTCAGATTGAATATGAACATTTTTTATTTGTATTAGGTTACCTTTGATGGTATAGTGATTTTTTTCTTTTCTTTTTTCAGATCACATTGCCAGAAAAGGCTATTGAGGCTGCCAAGAAAGAAGGTCAGGCCGCAGATGTGTTTTATGCATTCCAGCTTCTAGAGAACACAGGCATCTGCATTGTCCCAGGTAGTGGTTTTGGCCAGCGACCAGGAACATATCATTTCAGGTAATTTCTTATTTATGTGTTTTGTATAAGAAAGTAGTAAGCTACTTGTTTCTGCCTTCAGTCTGTTTTTCTATCATAATCCTTTCTACCCTCTGTCTTTTCTTTCCAGTTTGTATCATTCTTATCTTACCACTCTGTTTATACCTTTTATGTTAGAGCGAAAGAATTCTTGACTACTTAGATGAACATAACCAGAAGGATGAAGAGAACATTGGTTATGCTCTTGCAATTTCCAAAGATTTAAACCCAATGTCACCACCCCCTCTCTCTCTCCTTTTCAGAACCACCATCTTGCCGCAGCCCGACAAACTCAAGGTCATGCTTGAGAAGTTCCGGGAATTCCACTCCAACTTCCTCAAGCTCTATGAGTAAATTGCTCAACCTGCTTGTCTGCTCATTTACTGTAAGAATCATAATGGTAAGTATAAGGTTTGAACTTCGAGGCTTGTAGTGTTATGATGATGTTATATATTAATGTTTATATATAATGTGCATTTCTTCCATATACCATGATATGCATACATGTCCCACTATAATATATGAAGCTGTTTTATGAGATCTACATATTTGCTGTTATTTTGTGAGAGTCTTTACATCTTTTTCTCCTGTTATTTCAGATGCTCATCCTCAAAATTTTCACCTGGGAGAAGAGGAATGAATATATATTAGCTTAATGGTTTGGGGAAATATTAACACATTTCAGCAACATATCTTTAATGATAGAAGAAGGAAACTATTATCAAGCTATCACAGGGAAAAAACACAAACAAGCGTTGACTGTGGCTCATATCACTAACCTGCAAACTGTGGCTGCAGGGATCACCTTTGCACGGCACAGCATATACCTGGAACAGAAGACCGTATAGGGAGTACAACAGAATGAAGTTGATTTCAGAAATTGGCTTCATGTCCATCATTATTTTCTTAAAACTTTTTTTTTTTTTTTGAAGTTCGAGTTATGATATGCTGACAAGCACAAGAAGTTATGACAGCTCTTTATTATTTTTCTTTATTTCTTTTTTATTCTTTATTTCTCCTGTATAAAGTAGTATATAAAAGACACTGTTATATCAGCATGTTCTAGTGCTGCAGTGTTGTTGTTTTGAAGAATGTTAATATTTTGACATATTTCTCACAACACTTGGTAATTAAAAGGTGTAAATACAACATTGAATAGCTTCAAGTTGGAGTTGTGATATAGCTAAATGTATCATTGGCCTTTTTATTCTTCTTTCTAATTTCTCAATTTCTCTTTGTTATCCTTCCCTTCCACATACACAAGTAAATTGAATGGTAAATTAACTCTGACTATGGTTTTAAGGGAAGCCTTGTATTATACTTGGTAGTATTATTCTAGAGAAGTCATACAGTATTGTATTTGTCCAAATAAAAGACGGGCCATCTAGGTATGCTAAATAGACATAAAGGAAAACTAGATATCTGTACTAGCAACGTTGGCCGCTGAGTCAGGGAAAGTGTGCATGTGTTTAGAATTGTGTATGTGAGTAGTTAAAAAATTTGTAAAAAAATAAAAGATAAATTGAAATAATGTTAGTGATGAGTTTTGTTGGAATTATAATTTGAAATTATTATCTATATATTAAAGAAGTGACATACTCATGTGAAGACTATACAGGTCATTTGAAGTCAACAAATAGTGATGGTTCTCACAAAAATGATACTTAAGAATTTTATCATGACGTCTAAAAAAAGAAAAGTTTATTTGTGGTTACAACAATTGCATACATATACAAGCCACATCAGTATATGCCCTATACTAGCTCACCACTGAGGTGCACATCTCACATCTCACAAACTCACATTTTCCAAAATGAATTGAATGTAATACTGCAGGGAACACATAACTTTCTGCAGGGAACACATAACTTTAGCAAAAAATTCACACCATTATCAATGAATACAAACTCATTATCGGAGACCCATAGTCAGTTCTCTTCACTTACCTGAAACGATACCAAGCTGTGATATCCATGTCTTGCTGCAACACGGAACCGAATAGCGTGGGAAAAGTAATAGTTGTATTAGGTCTAATAAAAAAATATATGATTATTATTACTGTATTTTCATTTCCCCCTCAAACCTTTTTTTTTTAGCATATGGCATGTATTTTAAGGCAATGCATTTTCTTCAAATACAGTTGATAGATTCTTGATTGATAATAAGATGGACTGGATGATGAATTCAAATTTGTTCATATCGATGAGCTGTTATTGATACATCAAAATGTGTGCCTAATGGTCCCGAATCACATCAGTGAATCCTCATAAAGAAAAAGAATAATGAGGACGCGCTGGTATGTACTAAAAAAACGAGAATGTCTGGACTTGTGGAACTCAAACCTGTTGCCGCGGTGCCAGCGATACAAAATCTACAGGTTTAACACGGCTTTCAATTACGTAATAATTTTATGATCTACATTTACACTGTAATACTATTATATAATGTTTTGACCATGCATCAAATGTACCACAGCTTGCCCACGCCTGTGCAGTTAGCCAGGGTGGTAAATAAAGGACTAAACTAAAAAAAAAAACTACATAGCACAAGGCAAAATGAATTGGCATCTTAGTTTTTGGAGGCAGAGTGCTTTCTATGCTCTGGGTACTCACGCCAAAGAGTCTTAAAAATGCAAGTGATAGAAATGGAAAGGGAACATGCTATATACTCTTGCCTGCATACCTTCGCTTGCTGGAATCTTATAAGTATAAACTAACTCTGCCTAATGAGGTCTGTATGTGGTTAGTAAATTGTGGGTACAGACCATAGAATACCTCTTTCTAGGATTTTACACTTTTGAGTTATCTATAAAGAGAACTTGAGCTGACAAAGGACTTGAACGCTATAGGCATTTGTGACTGGTTTTCCCAGGAAAAAATATCAAAGGCTCACATAAGACAAGAATACAATGTAATGTAGTTGCCATGAAAATGAACTTTCAGTACAGCTTG